CAAAAAGCAAGAAAGAGTGGACCCACACTCCAGTGGTAATAACGTTTCAACTCACCATTATGAAAAAGCACAGACGGCGTAATTACAGTTTACTTCTCATAACCGCTGGATGGGAAGAAAACAGTCTAGAATTGGAAATAAATTAGGATGAGGAGGGTTTGCCATACAGCTAGCCCTTACATGCTGAAAAGGAATACCAATACCACTATCAAATAGAATTTAGGATATTAAACATAGGAACTACATATGTGCAAAATTCATATGCCATTTAACAGTTGCCAGGGAGTGCATAGTTGTTGAAAAAAGCACAAAGCATGCTTAAAAGCCTATTCTTGCATAAAGGCATATCCATATGTCCGATCATATCACACACCTGAAGATGTGCTTGAATGCGGTTATCACTATTTCCTAACTGAACAAGCTTATTTGAGATACGCGTAAGGTGTCCAACGTTTCCAGCCCGGGGTGCACTTCTACCAGTGGCAGGTAAAGTTGGCTGCATAATTAAGAAACTCGCATTATGGCATTTTCAATTTTAATCACATACAGAAAGGAAGAGTTCTTTGCATATGATTGTAAACAGATACTAGCAAAGGAACTGAAAATATATCTCCCCTCCACATAATGTCATAAGAAGGGAATTGAAGGTAGAATTGTTTACATAGCTTTTGAGAGTCTCAAGTTTTAAATTCTCAAAAAGGTCAAAAAATCCCATCACCTCATGCATGCATCTATATACCTGATTAAGATCAACGGAAAGAAGGGAATTTTTATCAGCCTGGAGGATTTTTCCAACCAAATCACACTCTTGGAGCAAATGTTNTTTAAATTCTCAAAAAGGTCAAAAAATCCCATCACCTCATGCATGCATCTATATACCTGATTAAGATCAACGGAAAGAAGGGGATTTTTATCAGCCTGGAGGATTTTTCCAACCAAATCACACTCTTGGAGCAAATGTTCAACAATGCTATTGTTTTTGGTTTCTAAGCATGAATATATAATATTCTCCACGTGCTGATGCAATGCGTTATTGTATGAATACCTGTGTCAATTCAAATAACATATAAGATACTGGACACTAAGTGCTTAGCCAAAGTACAAACAGGGAAATAAGTATATGCTTGGAATAATTTAAGGCTTTTTTGATCAACTAGCTTTTTTAATTCAGTGTTATAATGCACCACATCACCAAAATTCAAAAATGGAAGCAACATCTTACTCAAAGAAGAGATCAAGGACTCTTTTAATAGTTCCTGAGCTGACCAATTCTTTCTCTGCAAACTCATTGCCCGTTTTCAGCAGAACCGCAATGAATTCCACAATCTACAACCATACAGCAAGACAATTTGGGATAAAAACTGGCGTGTAAGAAAGGTTTAAAAAAGATCGCTAGCAGTACAAACTGACTACAAATCAGCAGCAAACAAATTTTTAACACACCTTACAAATTATAAGATCTTGACTCTTGAGTCTTGACCTTGGCTTTACCTATCTTAAGATTATTCTACTCAAGTCTAAACCACAAGAAGGGAATTCACAAACATACTGTAACTTCCCAAGTGCCTCTCTTTTTTATAAATGTTTAAGTAAAAATCTAGCCTCCTCATTTTTCGGACTTTAAGTAAAAGATGTGCACTCATATTGCAACGAGAACTTGAACCATTCACCTCAAAATAGGTAGGGTGGTAGGAGAATCATTTAAGCTAACAGTACTTCTATTTTCAGACAAANCAGACTTTAAGTAAAAGATGTGCACTCATATTGCAACGAGAACTTGAACCATTCACCTCAAACTAGGTAGGGTGGTAGGAGAATCATTTAAGCTAACAGTACTTCTATTTTCAGACAAAAACTTTTTTGATAGGTTTTAGTTTCAGAGAATAACTTATCTTTGTCCAATATTGAAACAATAAAACAACAAAAGAGGCACCAGAATTATTATAAGAGAACCCAACCTTAAGACGATGCTTCCCAAGAGGGGGCCGCAGTTCACCATATGTTGTAGGCAAAATCTTCTCATCAGATGACACATTCAGTAGCATCAGCAAGTCACCTGCACCACCAGTTACATAACGTTTGTTATCATTGCTGAGCAATAGACACCAACAATTAATCACTCATCAACGGACAGAGAAAAAGAATTTGCAGAGCTGAGGCACTGGCATATTTGATTGGAGTGGAATTACGGGTCTATCTCTAAACGTGAAGAGACACAAAACCCATGAATTGCATGGATTTCCTTTCACAAGAATCTGTCACAAACTCACTCCACATCATCATGTTCTCATCAGACAACAGACGACACTTTCAAGAATGGAGGAAATTGATGTGCATATTACATAAACATATCAAACAATGAATTCTCCAGCGCATGCACAAGGCAATAACAGCACACACAAAGCCATATAAAGAACCGGCGTGGCCATTACCACCAAAGTTCCGAATGAGCAAATATTCCCATTGATTCACGATGTAGCTAGACCACAAAAACAATCAAAACAGCAATATAATATGGCATCTACGAGACTCCAACCATTTGGCCAGGAATGATGACAAATTTCCGAGAATCGATTTCCTCTTCAGCTCTTACTTCCAGATTTTCGGGAAGGGAAGAAAGATGGGGAAGGGAAAGATCCAGGTTTGCACGGCAGACATGTTCTTGACCAATTGATTAGCCACACCACTTTCAGTCCTTTGATAAACTTAAAACGTCCAACAGTATTTATACTTTCATATAACTGATCTATTATTAAATCTATGCTTAATATAGTTTGCAGAACAAATAATCTGAAGTAATCTCAAACCAAAGCAACAAAATGCACAGTATTTAGTTTAGCCTGTTACTGAGGACAAGCAAAACTAGCATCAAACAAATGGAGAGGAAATTGACATGACATTTGCAATCTACATATCTGCTATTGCAAGAATATATATCCAACAGAAGAATGCAAAAGGAAAAATATGGAAACCAGGAAAGAGTTCTGAACAAAATGCATTCACCAACTTACCAAGTTTCGGAAGCATAGCATGAACAGTCTCAGGATTGACATATATAGGTGGCTCATACATTTGTTGGCTTCGAAAAGAAGGAATGAAGGGGGTAGAACTTGATCTTTTGGGATCCAATAAGGAAATACAAACAGATAATGAGTAGACAAGACCGGATTTGGAATGTGAGTCTTCCAATGCATGACCAAATATCCTTGCCACAAAACTGCACATTAGAAAGAATCAAAACCACTTAGCAAATATGTATTTAGTAGGAACAAATGAAAGACCAAACAATAATTCCGGAAAAAATTAACCACCACGGCCCTACAAACCTTTGGCTAGAAAGTTTAGAGGCAAGAGGTGATGGTGAATTTCGAGATATAGCACATAAAATTTCTGCAGCATTAGCATGGACTTCAGGAGGACTCTGGACCATTTAAGAAACATGTCACATAAATCATCAAAAACATATCATACCCCATGAAAGATACCGATACTCGGGTATCATCTCAATTTAGAGGCAACAGCAAAATAAAACTCCAAAAATGAACACCTAAACAAGATCTGCATGCCTAAACACAACTACAACACCAAGAACACATTCTCAGACAGAAAACTATAAGAAAAGACAGAAAATAAGTGATATGGACATGTGTGACAAACTAACTCAAAAAGGTCATGAAGTTCACCAATGCCAACACTGTTTTCCAGTTGGCGGTACTTCTCAAACCAATTTGAGGGCCATATGACCTTATATAAAGCTCTAAACACATGGAATGTCAAACACACAACCAGAAAAACACAAACTAAAAAATGAACATCGAGAATTCATAAATAATCAATAAGGGTCCCAAACATTCATCAACCATTGCAACAGAGTCAGAAAATGGTAATAATTAGGCATGTCATACCACATGTAGGAGTCAAGGGTTGTCATGCATAATAGTTGTTAGTACCTTATGATTAGCGATGAGTATCTTACGATATGTCACAATACAATACCCCAACCATACATATCTAAGAGTCATACCATTTTATGCTATACATATTTTACCATACGTTCTAATGCAATAAAAAAACAATACGCGCATTATCAAAACGACCTCGTTTCACAAGATTTTTTCTATCTAAACAATGAAACGACATTATTTCTCCGATATGTTGTTTTTAGTTTTTGGTTTGACATCAAAAAACAAAGTTAACGATCATCTTCTTCTCTCAAGACCCACTTTTTGTTTCTCCTACATTTTATTCTTCGGACAAAATCCTACCTACATTTCAATCTCTGTTGTATAGACAAACGATTGTTTCTCTTTTGATCTCTATTGGACAAAAGAATCACACGAAATGACAAGTGAGTTGAAATGATATTTATATTAATTCAAATATTATATATTTATATATTTTTAGGTATGTGTACATATGTCATATATGTGTGTGTAAATTAAATTAAGCATATCTTACAAGACACGATACATTATTTTTGAAAATCAATACAAATTTTGACAATCTTGTTGCCATGATCAAACCAACACATGATGCCTATGAATTAAATGATTGCCAACCCACACCAACAATTTTAATTCTGGCAAATTGCTAGGAATCAACAAGAAACCCAATATTTCACTCACAGATGGACTCAGTTTATCAAAAATCATTTCTAGTAAATTGCTATCAGCCAACCACTGCATCACATCTATAGAACTGGGATAAATATGGTCATTGGAGCCCACAAGTCGAACCAAAACCTGCATTCAAAAAATTTCATCAGGAGAGAGTAAATGCAAACTCCAACTCAAAAAACAATCTATGAACACCTTACAAACAGAGACTGTTGTGAATTTTCACTAGTTAACTATAGATACTAACCTCCATGATGGATGTAATACCTATCAAATCTACAAGCTGGCGGAATACATCCTGATGGACCTGTAAAAAAATTGAACTACAAATCAAAAATTGTCCCACAACGAAAGGACCCTTTTCCCTTTAAGGGAGGGAAAGAAAGGGAGAAAGGCCCCCTCAGAAAAGAAGGAAAGAAAACCTTCAATTATTGAAATCATATACAGGATCCTATTTTAGCTCCCAATAAATGATAACAAGATGGGTGAGGGAAACCAAGCCACCTCCCAACTACACCCCTTCTCTTGGCAGTCTAGTGACCAACTGACTTGCACAAAAGATGCAGAACTTCAGTGATAAAAGCAAACCAAAATGCAAACCATAATAATAACTGTCAACAAATCCTAACTTTATCTGCCTTCCCTATTCTTATCGTGCTAATTATCTTTGTTTCAAGCCTTACCATTGGGAGGATGATAAAAGATACCAAAAGAAAAACCTCTCTCCCTCTCTCTTCTCCAAAATTTTAAGTCCGAGGTCCAAAGGCACCGCCCATTATTCTGGACACACAACTTTCTACAACTAAAGAAAGGATTTCTAGTTTTTGAAACAGGTCAAGAGAAAAAACAGAACTTGAAAAACAACTATGACATAATNATGATAAAAGATACCAAAAGAAAAACCTCTCTCCCTCTCTCTTCTCCAAAATTTTAAGTCCAAGGTCCAAAGGCACCGCCCATTATTCTGGACACACACAACTTTCTACAACTAAAGAAAGGATTTCTAGTTTTTGAAACAGGTCAAGAGAAAAAACAGAACTTGAAAAACAACTATGACATAATGATAATCAAAGAATTTACTCACTTTAACATAATTCATAAGCGGGACTGTTTTTCTCAACATGAGGCTTATCACAACCTACAATGTGGAAAAATTAATCAAACAACTACAATTGGCCAAAACATTAGTACAACCAATACAGGCCACAAAAATCACATACAAAAGGGTTATAGTAAAATGAGAATATACCTTGCCAAAATACCCAGCCAGTAAGGCACTATGAGGACGGTTTGGTTCCAAGAAGGAGAAAAGCAAATCCATTAGCTGCAATTGCAAAATAAAGCAAATTACATTTGAATGCCTTCAGGTAGGATTCATTTCTACAACTATTTACAGTGTGTTGTGGATTATAATTATAAAGCCCGTACCTCATCTTCCTCCACTAAAGCCTTCAAGATAACATCAATCTCACATGTGAAGATCTCACAGGCAATGAAGGGAAACCTAAATCATGCGTGTAACAAATCTCAGTAGCAAGAAACCAACTTTAACCCAAAACGCCGAAATATTAAAACNAGCAAATTACATTTGAATGCCTTCAGGTAGGATTCATTTCTACAACTATTTACAGTGTGTTGTGGATTATAATTATAAAGCTCGTACCTCATCTTCCTCCACTAAAGCCTTCAAGATAACATCAATCTCACATGTGAAGATCTCACAGGCAATGAAGGGAAACCTAAATCATGCGTGTAACAAATCTCAGTAGCAAGAAACCAACTTTAACCCAAAACGCCGAAATATTAAAACAAAAATATGATATATGGTTCTCCACAAGAATTAATATTATGTCCAATAGTAATGGCATACTTGAAGGTACGTTTATTTTCAGCATCCTCTGAAGGCTCTTCAATAATATATCTTAGCAACTGCTCCACTTGGGATCTGTCTCGCAAACTGAGAAAAAATTCTTTAATGAGTAATATTCATGTACTATTTCTTTATATCTTTGAGCATGCAATCTACAGACCAAGCTATACGCATTGATGTCCTAGAGACTATCATACAGTGTAGATAAGATAATTGTAGGAAGAAGAAGCAAAGAAAATTTACTGTGGGAGAAAGTAAATTACAAATTAATCAGACGACTGTTTAATGCTTTGCATTCTTGGATTATCTCTTCTTCATCCAGAAGCTCTTCCAAAGTGAAGTTTTCCTTGTCCAATACTGACTCAACCTACAGACAATCGCAGAAATTAACGATGAGAACAATGACAGGTTACAAGAGACAATAAATGAGAAAACAAGTAAATAAATGCTTGATTTAATGAACCGCCCACTTTTCGATACCAATTAAATTGCATTAAAGATCAGAGTTTTATCAGCTTAAAAATAACCACCGGCCCACAATAAATAAAAACATGGTTAACAAACCATGCAACATGGCATACTAATCTGAGCAAAGAACAGTATCAAAGGTGGCATCTCCAAAAACAAATCCACAAGGCTCATAGAAAAGAAGAACCAGGCATAGATAAACAGAATAAAACGCAGCACCAGATCTTAGAATGTCAAGCAGGTATTTTAGGAAACAACATTCCAGGTTCCAGGTATATCAACATAAGCAAAAGGCAACTGCGTTCAAAAAAAAAATAAAAACATGAGCAAATGACTAGTAATCCAAATATTTAAAAAAGGGGGTAAGAACACAATTTACTTCAATAATCTGATTCTCTGGAAATTGAGAAGAATAAAATATGCACTCAAATGATCATAATATAACATAGTAGTGGCGTGCGATGCACTGGATTTACACCCCTCTCACACCTCCCACTCCACCCTGGCATCCTCGCCACTCCAACACCCCACTCAAGCCACCTCCGCGCCATCCACGACTATAGGAAATTACAAGTTAGTGGGCTGGATAACTCTTGAGATGGGATAATTATAGGGAGAAACTAAGTGGAGAAGAGATCAGAACTGATTTCTCGGAAAAAATCAATCAGGAGTGGTTACATGAGTAACGTGAGGGATTGGACTGGAGAGAACTTTTTTCTCTCAATTTAATAACCCAAATGTTTCAGAATTAAGCAAATGAGGAGGCAAAGCTTCTGAATACCTCTTCCCCAGTCCACACAATCTGATTCTTTTGGAAATGGCACAATCTGATTCTTATGTTTGTGTAAATTGTATTCAGTCAACCTGACTTCTTCCAAAACAGAACAGACTTCATAATGCGATTCTTCAATAAAACATACGAGATTCAAAAATTCCACTTTACATTTTCCCCCACTCTCATTGCAATGAAACAGAGGATGAATGAACCTAATTAAAACTCTAGCCACACTGTCAACAATTAAAACTTACTTTTTAGAACAAATCAAAGCCTATAGAAATTCAACTCTCATCAGATTGTGATTAATTGTAATCAACCAAAACGCAAAAGCCACCATTTCGTGCAGTAAATACCCAATGACATGCATTGACTATAGAACGGTGTTCTAGAGCAACAAATCACATGCTTAATATCTGTAATTCATCACTATGCGACCTCAGCTCGATCCGTTCTACATAATCTCCAAATAAACAACAACATAAAAAAAATTAAGAGTATAATTTAGTACACAGCTGATAGATGCGTGATAAACAAAGCCAAATAGATTAGACCGGCATGATTTCAAATATAATTTCAATTGATTTTAATTGCGCAAACGATAGCCTTCTGTTGCAAGAACCACCGCATTAGCATCTAAACGTGGATCGTATCACTTACAGGAGAAGAAGTACTCATAGTTGGGATCTTCCAGAACATCTTGAATATCGAATAGAGAGAGGACGTGAATGAAGAGACGAGGTTGAAGCAAGAGCTCTTTTAAGTCTTTAACACTCGCAAAANTAATCCAAATATTTAAAAAAGGGGGTAAGAACACAATTTACTTCAATAATCTGATTCTCTGGAAATTGAGAAGAATAAAATATGCACTCAAATGATCATAATATAACATAGTAGTGGCGTGCGATGCACTGGATTTACACCCCTCTCACACCTCCCACTCCACCCTGGCATCCTCGCCACTCCAACACCCCACTCAAGCCACCTCCGCGCCATCCACGACTATAGGAAATTACAAGTTAGTGGGCTGGATAACTCTTGAGATGGGATAATTATAGGGAGAAACTAAGTGGAGAAGAGATCAGAACTGATTTCTCGGAAAAAATCAATCAGGAGTGGTTACATGAGTAACGTGAGGGATTGGACTGGAGAGAACTTTTTTCTCTCAATTTAATAACCCAAATGTTTCAGAATTAAGCAAATGAGGAGGCAAAGCTTCTGAATACCTCTTCCCCAGTCCACACAATCTGATTCTTTTGGAAATGGCACAATCTGATTCTTATGTTTGTGTAAATTGTATTCAGTCAACCTGACTTCTTCCAAAACAGAACAGACTTCATAATGCGATTCTTCAATAAAACATACGAGATTCAAAAATTCCACTTTACATTTTCCCCCACTCTCATTGCAATGAAACAGAGGATGAATGAACCTAATTAAAACTCTAGCCACACTGTCAACAATTAAAACTTACTTTTTAGAACAAATCAAAGCCTATAGAAATTCAACTCTCATCAGATTGTGATTAATTGTAATCAACCAAAACGCAAAAGCCACCATTTCGTGCAGTAAATACCCAATGACATGCATTGACTATAGAACGGTGTTCTAGAGCAACAAATCACATGCTTAATATCTGTAATTCATCACTATGCGACCTCAGCTCGATCCGTTCTACATAATCTCCAAATAAACAACAACATAAAAAAAATTAAGAGTATAATTTAGTACACAGCTGATAGATGCGTGATAAACAAAGCCAAATAGATTAGACCGGCATGATTTCAAATACAATTTCAATTGATTTTAATTGCGCAAACGATAGCCTTCTGTTGCAAGAACCACCGCATTAGCATCTAAACGTGGATCGTATCACTTACAGGAGAAGAAGTACTCATAGTTGGGATCTTCCAGAACATCTTGAATATCGAATAGAGAGAGGACGTGAATGAAGAGACGAGGTTGAAGCAAGAGCTCTTTTAAGTCTTTAACACTCGCAAAACCCTAAATTAACAGGAGAATATTGAAAGCCGAAGGAAGACCAGATTCAAGATGTGTTTGGCAGCTGAGAGGCGTTCGAAGTTTTTGGAGCGAAGAGGAGAACAAAAACCCTAGTCCTGCGAGAGGTAAAAAGATCGGAGGCAAACGAAGCCGTAAAGATCGAGACAGAGTTCTCTTTTCTCCTTTCTTAAAATTCAGAGTGGCGACAACAAAGGCTATGCCAGTGGAAAAGAAGCGCAAAAATACAAAATGGTCGGAATTCACCATACCAAATTTGTATTAGTTTAGTTTCGGATGTACATGCAGTTATGTATATGGAAGAAACAACGCAAACCATCCATAAATTCAAATATTTTAAATTTTAATTTTAATAATTTCTTAAAGACACGGCTCCACCTGGGCTATGAATGATTTATTTTTTGTGAATATTATAATTTTTGTGTGAATAGCCTAGTTTTAATCAAATTAAATATTAAATTAGTCAAAATGCTAAATAGATGGGTGAAGGGTGATGCCAAGCTGACATAGCTGAGTATCATTAGACAGATCTTTATTTGAATTTTCGAATGGATTTTTCAATAACCTCGGGCGTGACCTTGCAATAATTTTAAATTTTTTTAAAAAAATATAAATTAACTTTTTTACAAAAACTAGAAGTGACCCATACAATGCATGTTTTTTTAAATTTAAAAGCTATTCTATTAAAAACAGGCGTAAACAGAGTTTCAATTCAACTATTAGAAGAACATGGCCAATGCATGACTTGTTTGGAGGTGTATATTTTTGTCTTACCCAAAAAAAAAAAAAATTACAATCTCATCTAGTGATATTAAAGTTTGTCTACTGTATTAGTTGTTTTTAGTCCTATTTTTAGTTTATATTATTATTTAAATTAAACCCATCAAGGTTGAAGGGCTGAATTATAGATTACCTTTCAGATTTCCATACCCCATATATAGGATAGGATTACAGATAATGGAAGATTCAAATATGTTGACTATTGAGCTCTTAAAAAGCTATTACAACTACCTTTCACATTAATTACATTGACTCTGGATAGGATGGCAGCCTCCTAAATGCTTTTGTGGTTGAAGTTGAAGGAATTAAGTGGACCATATCATTGTGTACAAAACATTACATTAGTAGTTAGTATATTACGGTTAGGATTACTAATATCTATCTAATATTACACTTAAAAAATTAAATTTTTAATGGTATAATTGTTTATCTCAAATTTTGTTTTTCCATTCAAAAATATATATTTTTTTTGCCATGGCCTCTATTGTCATATAACTCAACTAACACATTTTTCAATATCAATCAAAGTCAATAATATATACCTACCTCTCTAATTTTTAATTATTTGATCTAATTATATAAACTTCATTAAAAAAATAATTTTCATTAACAAATGAAAGTGAATAAAATAAATTTTACTAAAAAATACGCAATATTTTGTACTACAGCCCTTATTAAAACTTTGTTTGTCAAAAATATTTATATATACTCCAAATACGTTTGGACATTGTCCTAAATACTAAATAGAATATGTTGAGTAAAGTGAATTTTTTTTTTTTTAGAAATCGATTACTTCCTCGATCTCAATGGCTAGCCACTATGACTTTAGCTAATTAGAACTTGTTCAGGAAAAAGGTTACTAACCTTTAGATATGTGAAAAAAAAAAGGTTACAAACATGAAAGTGTGTTTGTGATAACTTTTTAAAAGTATTGTTTTGATTTATAATTTTTCATAAGTACTGTTTTTTTTTAAAAAAAAAAATGGTATTTGGAACTACCCCTACCACCACCACAACTATCACCGATACCACAACACCACCACTTTAGCATCAACAACTACCACCACTTTAGCATCAACAACTATCACCACTATTACCACGCTACCACCACTACCACACCCGTCGCCCTATCACCACCATTACTATTACCACCATTTCTATCACCTCGCCATTACCATAATCACTGTTGTCGCCACCCTACCACCCCCACTATCCCATCTTGACCACCGTTGTCACCTCGCCACCATCTCTTTTATAACAATCATAACCACCATCGTCGCAGCCGCCGCCATTACCACCACCACTATTATTGCTCGCGTCCAATTACAATCGGTGCTTAAATTCTTCTCTCTCTCTCTTTTATCTTTGTAATTTGATTTTGAGTGTAAATAAAAATATGTTTATTATTGATCATTTTTTTCATTACTCTGTACCTTTAGGCACGCAAAATAACTAGTAATTTGATATAATGTAAATATAAATAAGATGAATCGGGCGTTATCCAAAGAAATTGAGTTAGAATTAGATATATAATTCACTAAATTCGATTTAATATTTTTTTGGATTTTGAAGGAATTGAATTGGATCATATATACTTTGCTTGAAATCCTGATTAGCATAGTTTTCAAATCAAATTATTTTTTTTGTCCCCTAACAAACTTGAGTATGGATTTTTTTATTTTTAACAAACACGATGCGTTATTGAATAAGTTGGGTAATGTATAGAATTGCAGTTGATTAAAATCTATTAATTGACAGAACTAGTCGAAATATGAACCAGTCAAGAAGTTATTTGTTTCTTGTTTTTGGTCCGACACTATTCTAAAGAGGAAAAAGTTTAAACTTGGGATCTTAAATTCAAATTGCGAGGGCGATGACACCAATGACTAACCTCAAATAAGGGCTCATTTTGTCCCGTCCCCGATTCCACGAATCTCGAACTGTTTTCATGATCCAACGGTCAGATGTGCGTTCGGACACGCGAACGTGTTTTCCAGATCATGACCCCACTATAATATGCGCACGCTGTAAAAAGGGGCACCCACCCCCGTCACGTGGCTGCTTCTTTCTCTTTTGAATGCAAAATGGGGGGAACAGTGCGCGCCATCTGCCTTTTAGGTGGCTTTCTATTTCTATGGTGCTGGCTTTGGGCGCTAATCGACACTAATAAGGTAAATAAATTGATTAACAACGGTAAAGTTGGTGATAATTTAATGTCGTAAAAGGTTAATACGAACTAAACCAAATGACAAAAGACAACTGTCCACTTATATAAAGTTAATCATTTATTTCCCCGGAAAAATACCAAAAAGCTCTTGAGTTTTATTTTTATTAACTCAAAAAAATATAATCATCTGGAAATTCTTTTAAAAAATATAAATTTTTTAATATAAAAATGTCCAATTGCTAAGTCCTTTTTTTTTCCTTAGCTCGAAAAAGGATGGTTTAGGGCGATCAATCATATCAACCCCCTCAAGATTGTCACCCGTTATAGAATGTTTAATTTGAGTTATAATTATTGACTTGAAATGATCGAATTCATCACTACAAAACCACCGATGAGAACAAATTAGACATTCAGTTGTAATTATGATGAGGCTCCTATAAATGTTTTACGCCTCTTTTTCATTGTTGGAGTCATTATGAGTAAAAATCCAAATGAAAGTCATTTTAATTCAAACCAATGATTTTTTCAATGGTTTAGAATATCCTTATACGTTGTTTTAATAACATTTGTTCTATTTGGTAGAGAGGATAAAAAATAGGAATGATACATTTTCCTTCTTTTGTATTTGGTTGGATGAATGAAAAATAAAAATAACTAATTTTTTTTTTGCTGGCTAAGATTAGGGGTGACAATCGAATCGTGTCATGCAAATTCGTGTTGAATCATTACGAATTTGTGTCGAATTTTAATCAAACTTAACTTAACTCATTTAACTAATTGTGTCGTGTTGAATTGTGAGTTGACCTATTTATTTTCGCATCGAGTTCGAGCCGTGTCATCGTGTTAAGTCGAAAATTTTCTCCCATAGTTAAGATCGAAAATTTTTTTATTTAAATTTTTTTATTTTATTTTTATTTTAAAATTTATATATATATATATACATACATATTTTACCATTGTATTTTTATGTGAAATTAATGTATATATAATATATGTATATATAAAAAGATATATTTATATAATAAAATAGTTTACAATTCAAATTTCAAAAGATAAACAAAATGACTTTTACTATTCGCAGTTGAGATCGTTTTAAATTTTACTTTAAAGTTAATTTAACGGCTAATATTAACACCCTAAATTTAATAAAAATAAATAAACTCTTAAGGGTGTGTTTAGAGTGATTTTTTAAAAATACTTATAGGAATTATTTCTCAAAAGTAATTTAAAAAAAAATAATATTTGAAACCGCCCTACTACTACCTCTACCTCTACCTCTACCACCTCCACCTCTACTGCCACCGCCAACATCATCACTGCCACTGTCACTGTCGCCGTCGCCACCCTACCACCACCACCACCACCACCACAACCATGGTTGTCTCCACCACAGCCATCGTCGCCACCACAGATATTGCCACTCATCACAACCATCATCGTTTTGTACCACCACCACCTTTCACCCTTACNAGCTGATAGATGCGTGATAAACAAAGCCAAATAGATTAGACCGGCATGATTTCAAATACAATTTCAATTGATTTTAATTGCGCAAACGATAGCCTTCTGTTGCAAGAACCACCGCATTAGCATCTAAACGTGGATCGTATCACTTACAGGAGAAGAAGTACTCATAGTTGGGATCTTCCAGAACATCTTGAATATCGAATAGAGAGAGGACGTGAATGAAGAGACGAGGTTGAAGCAAGAGCTCTTTTAAGTCTTTAACACTCGCAAAACCCTAAATTAACAGGAGAATATTGAAAGCCGAAGGAAGACCAGATTCAAGATGTGTTTGGCAGCTGAGAGGCGTTCGAAGTTTTTGGAGCGAAGAGGAGAACAAAAACCCTAGTCCTGCGAGAGGTAAAAAGATCGGAGGCAAACGAAGCCGTAAAGATCGAGACAGAGTTCTCTTTTCTCCTTTCTTAAAATTCAGAGTGGCGACAACAAAGGCTATGCCAGTGGAAAAGAAGCGCAAAAATACAAAATGGTCGGAATTCACCATACCAAATTTGTATTAGTTTAGTTTCGGATGTACATGCAGTTATGTATATGGAAGAAACAACGCAAACCATCCATAAATTTAAATATTTTAAATTTTAATTTTAATAATTTCTTAAAGACACGACTCCTGGACTATGAATGATTTATTTTTTGTGAATATTATAATTTTTGTGTGAATAGCCTAGTTTTAATCAAATTAAATATTAAATTAGTCAAAATGCTAAATAGATGGGTGAAGGGTGATGCCAAGCTGACATAGCTGAGTATCATTAGACAGATCTTTATTTGAATTTTCGAATGG